CACCTATGTGGTTCCACACACTGCCAAGCAACAGACGCTCCAACGAAGCATTCCAGTTCTAGGTAATGTCGGCTAAGTCACTCAGGTATCCACTTCAACTGCCAGGGCCTAATCCTTTGACCTACGGAGAAAAAAACGCCTCCAGCACCTGTACAGGCCTCAGACCCTGCATGTGACCAAATAATTTTAATTCCCTCTTCTCCCTCTTATTAAATAAAACCCCACTCTTTGAACGGGTGTCTCAAGACCAGGCAGAGCCGCCATGACCCTGGTTACTGAGTTATGTCCCGGCAGCCCAAGCATTCAGAAGCAGCTCCAGGAAGCCAAGGGCATTTTACATGGCCGTACGTGTTCCTGAGAGTGTGTGTGGCCCTCCTCTACCCAGGGTCCACCACTCAGTCACACATACATGGCTTAGCTCTTACACACCAGAGCTCAAGACTAAGCTGCTGGCTCCAGGGCCCAGGGCCCTTGGGGGAACTCAACTCCAGGTGGCCCCTGGAACCCAGACCACAGTGGATCCTGTTGGAGCAGATATCAACAGAAACGAGGGACGGTGTGCCAAGTTTCCATGCCCTCTCGGGAGCAACAACACTCGGGCACAGGCCAGGACAAGCAGCCTTCAACTTGAGAAGTACAAATGCTCCAGGTAAGGGAGCCAGCCAGGCTCCTGTCCCACAAGAAGACAGTCCCCAACATCAGACTCTCCGAGTGGAAACTTCTGCTTCTCGTCTCTTTCTCTTTAAACTGTGCTTGAGTTTTGCCACATGTGTGCAGGTGCCCTTGGAGGCCAGCAGAGGGCATCAGATCCCCTGGACCTGGAGTTATACATGGCTGTGAGGCATGTGGGTCCTGGGAACCGAACCCAGGTCCTCTGCAAGAGCAGCAAGCACTCTTAGCTGCTCAGCCACCTCTCTGGTCTCCCTTTTCTCTCCTCCTTGAGACTGGGCTTCGTGCAGCCTAGGGTGGCCTGCTGTACAGCTGAGGATGACTTTGAACTTCCAATTCTCTTGCCTGCTAGGATTATAGGCATGTACCACCACACTCCGTTTATCAGGGTGTTGGGGATCAAACCCAGGTCCTTCGGAAAAGCAACCAGAGCATTTAACTGCGGAGCCCTCTCTCCAGGCCCCACCGGTTAACTTTTGAGGAATCCGTCTCCATCACTGTGGGAATACATCACAGAGATAAACAGCAAGCCCAGGCATCTCCCGGCTCACCCAGGTAGTTATTTGTGGCTGGGAGTCGAAATATCCTTTGCCACCTACTCTAAGGGCACTACACGTAGTTTCAGCACCAGTGAGTCTGAGGATAGGCACAGAGCACAGCGTCAGTCATCGGAGTCCGTCCACAGCTAACTTCAAACCCCACCAAGTGGTAGATCCACACCTTTCTGTATTCCCAGGGTCTACAAAAGGCCTACGGATGGGTCACTAACTGGAGTCCTCTTGTCCCCAATGCTCCATCCACACTTGGGCAGAGCAGGAGGGAACAGAACCAGACTGCGTTTGCCCCTGCACCTGGACAGGCTCCCTCATCGAGGTGAGATAACCGAACACCATCAGCAGGGGCCGAGGAAGAACCAACCTAGGGGACCAGTTCTCTCCCTAGGTCTCAGAACTTCTGGCCCACTTCCAGGAGGCCGTGTGTCGAGCACCGCGTGGATCCGAGCAGAGAGTTGCGGTGTGTACATACTCCACAGCACGTGGCCACACCACAGGTGTGGCACCGTCTTCTACAGGGAGGGTGGAACTTGACACACGCGCCCCACCCTTAGAGACCCTCAAACAGCTCTGCGTGTCTCCAAGGAATCAGCAATGAACTAAAACTCAGAGTGAAGTGGTGTGATCATGAAGAAGCATGGGTTAGGGAGACCTGGGTTCTAGTCCTTCTAGAATGTAACCCTAGCCGATCACCCCTGCCCAGGCTCCAAGACGTAACTCTGAATGAACGAGTTCCAGGGATGCCGGGGAGCACCAGACTCAGAGGCCCCAGTCCCCAGGCTGCTTCCCCACCCCAGCCTCCAGCTGCACAGTTGGCTCTCACTTGCCAAATGTGGGGCCAGGCCTCGGAGGGATTAATGGTGCCCCTCTACATGGCAGGTGCACCAGGTCTGAGGCAGCTGGGGAAGGGGGGTCTGTCATCTCACTGTGACCCTCCCTCTCCTAGGCTCAGCCTCCCTATTAGACCCTCGACTGCTTTTCTATGCCGCTGAGGCCATTGCCACACCCACAGGGAGGGCTGGCTTTTGTACACATGATGGCATTTCTGTGACCCTCCTTGTGACTGGCACACTAGGAAAAGTACCAGTGAGCATGTATGGCAGTGGTCCTCAACCTCCCTAACGCTGCGACCCTTTGATACAGTTCCTCATGTGGTGGGGACCCCCCAACCATAACATTATTTTCATTCCTACTTCATAACTGTAATTTTGCTACCTTTATGAATCATAATGTAAATATCTGTGTTTTCCGATGGTCTTAGGCGACCCCTGTGAAAGGGTCATTCAGCGAGCCCCTCCCCAAAGGAGTCTCGACCCATAGGTTGAGAACCACTGATGTATGGGATAAGAACAATCTGGTAAATGCCCACCTCCCCTGAAATAACGTTCTAGATCTACCTTTCTCTATCACAGTCAATTTGATTTTCCCCGGCCTGAGTTTCTCTTCTGGAAGACGGACGCCTTGAACAGATTATCTACACCACTCCCAGCTCACTCGAGGCCCTTTAAATCTAGCTTAATTTGAAATGAAGTCCACGTGGGCTGGAGAGATGGTTCAGCGGGTATGAACAGGCTGCTCTTCTAGAGGACCCGGGTTCAGTTCTCAGCACCCACATCAGACAGCCCACAACCACCTGTCAACTTCAGTTCCAGGGGATTCAAAGTTCTCGGAAACCTTTGGGCACCTACATGGGACACATAACCATGTCCCCCACAACACACCTACTGTTAAAATAATAAAAATAGAATGAAACATAGTTGAAAACTCGCTTTCTCAGACTCTGTCCACTAGCCACATTTCAAGTACTCGGAGTCATGTGTCGCTTGCAGTTCCCATATTGGAAGAACAGAGAAAACAGCTTCACCCTGGGAGAGGTCCACTCGATGACAGCCTGCCAATCTCTTGCCAGGTTCGGGAAGATGATGTGCTATTTCTGACCCAAGGAACTCTCAGCACTGGTCAGCAGTATTTATTTACGCTTCTGTATGTGCATGACGTGATGTGTGTGTGTGTGTGTGTGTGTGTGTGGTGTGGTGTGTGTGT